TTAACTGATTTTGCACATCCCTAGGTACCTCCCCTTGATACCCTTATCTCACGGTTACTCCAACAGAAAATGTAAAAAGTAAAAATGACCAGATAGACAAATTGATTGGTCCTTATGATTTTTGTTAATTAAAATTGTGACTCCTTTCCCAAAAACTAGCAAATATATCCCTAATTTCTGTTAATTATACATTGTGACNTTTCATTTTTGACAATTTTATCCTTCAATGAATCAATATACATAAAACAATACAAAAGACAAGATTATACGCACAAGTTTCTCTAAACACCTCATTTTAATTTAACAAAAGTTAAGTTAGTAAATTATCAAAAAAGCGTTTTTACACAAAGAATAAGAGAATTTTTTCTAAGTTAAAATTTAATGTTAGAATTCTGGAAAATAACGCAGAACATATTCATATCCAATAAACTATTTGTTGTCTGGCTAAATAGAGTAAACAACATGTTCCCACCCAAGGTTTGATGAAATGGCAAGTTTTCACCCTTGGTTTCATAAATTTCATATTCTCACCCTTAAATTAACATTAAATCATTTAAAAAAATGGTCATAGGGTAAATTGGCCATTTTCATCGCAACAAATTTGAAATTAAAATAAAAATTTTAAAATAACCCTTCACATCTCAAAATTGACAAAGTGCTGCCTTCTTTGTTGCCATCGATGACCGTTTAGAGCTGATTTCGGTCTATGTTCTCACCAAAATTGATAGAAATCATCACTTTATCATTTTTCAAGTGTTTTTCAGCCTTGATAGCCCTCAATTTGACCAATTTTTGCCGATTCTTACAACCCAACTCCATCACATGTGACAAACATTTTTTACCTATACTCGACATCGTTGGCCTTCCCTAACACCACCATCTTCCTCTACTCAGCCCTTATACCAAAACCCCTATGACACCTTACTGTTTCCTTTGTCAATCGCCGACCACCACCACCTTTTGGTTTGCGACTTCTCAAGCTTTTTCTGGTCAATCCTTATCGGAAATAACCCTCATCACCACCCATCGCTTCTTCGGCATCTGATCTCCAAAACCCCCTACCAACCTGACCCTGTTAACTTTCCGATCGCCGTTTACCTCTGCTTAAGGTTTTTTTTTAAATAAAAATTGAAGAAAAAGGTGTTATTGAAAAATATTTGAAAGTAAGATGACTTTTTTCCAATTCTATTAATTTGGGGGTTAAAAAGTAACTTATTAATTTATTTGATAAGGATAGTATGATAATAGCACTTTATATACTGAGTCAGAACCCAAAAATCACTAAGGGGGTTAATTTAAGGTGAGAATTTGAAATTTATGAAACCATGGGTGCGAACTTTAGATTTGCCAAACCTTAGGTGGGTAGATGTCATTTACTTGGCTAAATAAGATAAGCTATAACCCAAATTAAAGGAGTTATCGACTTTTTCCCACCCAAATAATAGGGGTGTTCAAAAGAACCGTTCGGAACCGAAACCGTTGGGTACCTGGGGTTTGGTTCTGGTTCCTACCCAGAACCGATTGTCAACGAGTAGGTTCTGGTTCCAAAAATTTGGAACCGACACTGTACGATTCTAGTTCCTACGTCAAGAACCGGAACCGAGAACCAGGACTGAAATGAAATATTATTAAAGAGTGGGGGGGTTTTGGTAATTTACCTGCCACATATAAAAACTTTAGATTAGGGCAAAAAATTTCATTTTCTTTCTTCCCTTCTCACGATCTTCGTCTGCTCTTGCTCTCTGTCCACTCACTTCAGATCAAGGCAAAAACTTCAGCTTTTTTTTCTTTTAATTTGTTTGGTGAAGCGTGATCCTTGGAATCTAGAAGAAGACACTAAAGCACTCCAATTTCTTAAGGTAATTTCCATTTCTTTCTTTTAATTTTTTTTTGAATTTTATTTAACCATAAATGAACTCTATATCCTTATACTCTCTGATGTGTATACTGATTAATTATTTTGTAAAAAGTGGTTATCAAGTTAGCTCTGGGTTTATTTGTGATGGATTTGATTTTATATATCTGTGCTGGTGCCGGGTATTGTGAGTATTGTGTGCAAAAACTTTAAGCTAAAGCTGAGTATCATGAAGTTTGAAGTGAAAGCATGGAGCAATGGCAAAGCCCGGACATGACTTTTATTTTAAGAAATGTGTATGCATGTTTGAATTTATATGCGTATAACGTGTTTGTGTTTTGGCTTGTGAGAGTTTTGTTGCTAACAAACAATGTGGTTAACCTGTTGGACAAGAATTATGTTATGAATTGGTAGTCAGAGATAACAAATTGGGAAGCTTTTGAGTTCATTATTTATTAGTTAAAGTTGTTAGGTTATTGAGATGTTGTTCCGTGTTATGTATATCAGGAATTTTTATTGGACAGCTCAATAAAAAAGAATAGGAATTTAGGTAGTATTATAGTGGTTAAGTGAATTTATCCCTGCATCTCTGTTGCCTTAGAATGATTGATCTTCAAGCTCCTAAATTTCAAGTACAAATTACATAACACAAAATCTCAACAGAGAAAGAAACTCCATAGCCACGTTAATTAATCAAAAGATTTACAGCCTATACTGATCCTCTTTCTCTCAGAAAAGCATGTGACTTTGCCATGTTTTAGTTTAGCTTCTATTAGCATTTTTGCTTGGAATTTTGTCTTCCCCAAATGGGACAACATTAAACATGACATTTTGATATGATTTTATTTACTCATTGTGAACCTCTGTAGTTATTGGTGACTAAAGGTTCAGTAAAAGTTTCCTTGTAGCGTATTCATACCTGGTGTATAAATTTGTTAGTCTTTGTTTGGAAGTTATTTTTAAATTATTTTAACATGGAAGTTGTTTTCTTAATGCTGTTGTTAATAGGAAAAATAAGTCTTTTTATCTCTTGTATCAATGTTGTTTTGTGCTTATGTGTAGACGGTGAATTATATCTCTTTATTTATTCCCAAATTATTGGCTTCGTTTGGTTCAAAATTGGGAATACTACTCTTAGTATTCCCAAAAAGTTAAACAGTAAAATACCAAAAAACTCTCATTTTTTGGAATGCTACTTTCAATACTATTTAATTTTTTTTAAACCCTCTAAATTTGTTAATTTAATTAAATACCCCTAAATATTTTTTTAAAAATTACAAAAACACTCCAATAATTCACATTTACCAGATTCCGGCCACCACCATTGGAAAATGGCCGGAATCTGGTAGGATGGCGCACTATTGGCTGAATCTGGCCGGTAGTGCGCCGATCTAGCCTTTTCCGGCCAGATCCACCATGGATCTGGCCGGAAAAGGCCAGATCTAAGGCCAAAGATCTGGTCGTTGACGGCCGGATCTTTGGCCGTAACAGTCGGTCACAACGGCCAACAAACGGTCGTCGTTGACCATCAACGACGACCGTTTGTTAGCCGTCGTTGAGAGTAAATACGGCCAGATCTGGCCGTAGATCTGGCCAAAAAAGGCCATAGCAGCGTATGACCTGTAAGATCCAACCCGTCATGCACCGATAAGATGACTCCGGTCACCTCCGGTGGTGGTGGCCGGCTGGGGGTATTTGAGGGTTGATTAGGGGTGTTTTTGTTAACTTTTAATGTTTTATTATAGGGGGTATTTTGTAAAAAAACAAACATAAGGGGCATTTTATTAATTTATAAATCGTACCTCGTAATACCTGCCCAATTCAACTTTTTTTTAACTTTTTTCAAAAAACTTTTCCCAAAACCCCCAAATTTTGAACCAAATGAAGTCATTGTATTCAATATTTTGAACTTACTAATTGATTTTCTTGTATTTGTTTTGTTAGAAATTAATGCACATGAGGCAAGCAATTTAGAGCACGGAGCATGAAATATTTTTAGTTTTTCATATTTTGATATTATTAATTGTTATGTTACTTATTTTATATGTTATGTAATTTCATCATTTTAGTTTTGGAGTTTATAATTTTGAATTTGTGATTTTCAACGGAGTATTGTAATATTTTAATTTTGAATTTGTGATTTTCAATGGCTTATTTTAATTTTGGAGTTTGAAATTTGAAATTTATAATTTTAATTTTGTTAATAACAAGTGCCAAGTGGGGGGGTATTTGTAAGTTTTTAAGAGTTTTTTTGTTATTTTAAAAACTTTAGGGGGGGGGGGATAATGAATTTTATAGGGTACCCGGAACCCGGAACCGGAACCGGAACCGTTGTTAAAGATTTTGGTTCTGGGTATCTAGGAACCAGAACCGTCGATTCCGGTTTCGGTTCCTTCCAAAAGTGTAAGGTACTCGAAACCGAACATCCCTACCAAATAATGGCTTAATGATATTTCCTCACCTACAGACTTTTAAAATAAAACTTTACTATCCAAATTTATATTTTGTTCCCGATTTCAGCATCGTTGCAACCCAATACCACCACAATTCTCTTCCTTGATTATCTCTCACCAGAACCTCTCAAACCTTACTCTCGCCAACCCTATTAATCACCAACAATCGAGGAACTAGGGTTTGTGCAGCCACCCATCCCAAGTCAAATTCTGAACAATCTCAACCATCAAAATCCAAACTTTCATTACCAAAAGACTAATCGACTTTCCTTTTTCAAAAGCCTCAATAACTTGGATCGAGTTTGTTCTATGTTTGCCGTCGGAATATAAATTTGGATAGTAAAGTAGTATTTTAAAATTTGTAGGTGAAAAAATGTCATTAAGCCATTATTTGGGTGGAAAAAAATCTTTAACTTAAATTAAAGTGAAAAAAAAAAAAAAAACAGAAAGATTGCACTTACAAATGGGTTTACAAATAGCCCCATGTTACCTGACAGATGATGTGCCACATCATCCATTGCCAACTTCGCCTTTAGTAAAATATTTAATAATTAATATTGTTCGATCGCCTTTTTAAGTTTTTTCCAAAAATGGAACCACCAACCATCAGTGGCCATTTCAATTTGCTTAGTTTTAAGAAACGATAAGCCCAATATTAAGCTACTAAAGTGAAACTAGTTAAACGATTCAACTCAATACATGTGCGAATCTACATTATTCGCAACAGTGTTGTCACTCCCAATTAACCAGTTCCCCAAGACAACTGAATTAAAGGCTTTTATACCAATAACACCAGATTCATCAAAATTATACCCTAAACCATAACAGCTGATGATCAACAATTTACAAATCAACCCAGAATAATGGGAAGACTTAACCTGTATCCAAGAACACAGAATAAATACACGTACACTCATTCTTCACAGATGCGAATTTTTGCAGCGTTTGAATTCACCAAGCACTTCCTCCTCCCTAAGCCCAACAAGAAATTGGGCTAAACCTTCGAGAAACAAAGCTGCCTGATACAAACTCAACCCACTCACTATCTCCGTAATCACACTCTTTCTCAACCTATTCGCATCCATAAACACACTCACCATCTCTTCCATCGCTTCCTTCATTGCCTCTTCAATCCTTTCTCTTTTCCCTTCACAATCCGCCCCCCAATCCTCTGCTATCCTTCCCACAAAACCACCCTGTACCTTCTTAATTCTGCTCATCAATGCAGGCACCATTAGTCTTAATCCACATTCTATTTGATCGATGTGATTCATCAAGTGTTTGGATACATTCTTCCACGCCATCATCACTTGCCACGGTCTATCAAGACCAGCAACAACACCATCGCAAGAGTCATTTTCTTCTCCTTCCTCAGTTTCTTGATCAAGAAAGGATCTTAAAAGGTTGGTGAAGAGATAGGGGTGGAGATCACCGAGAAGGAGAAATGGTATTTCAAGAGAGTTGCGCCAAGAAGGGAAGAGAAGTTGAGGGAGGTTTTCTTGGGAGGCAGCGAGATCCAAGGTGTCATAGTAGGCGAGGAAGTGATGAAGGAGGATATCAATGCGTGAGTGGAGAAGAGTTGGTGAAGAAGATGAAGAAAGGGAGAGTTGAATGAGAGGGAGGTGGGTTTTCTTGAGAGTTTTAAACCATTTTGTGTAGTAATCTTGGAAGGAAAGTGTTTGTGGTTTTTTCCGAAAGAGAGAAGAAAAAGGCTTAGGCTTTGGCATCCTTTTTTGGTGAAGAAGATTTTATTTGATCTGCATTTGGTGTGACTGGATGTTTTCTGTTCTGTGCTTTATAGCTGAGCAGAGGTATATATGGAGGGAGGGAACATTTGCCAATCGGGCATAATATGGGCTTTCTAAGCGAAGTATGGACTTATGGTGGGCCTTGGCACTTAACAGAGATAAACGCGCCCACATGTGACGTGAAACTGCAGCAGTAAAAGTAACAAAGATAAAAAGGCGCCAAAAAGGGTAAAGCATTAGCACAGTGCAGCGCATATTAAGGAAGACAATATTTCGAAACGGTGCCGCATTAGGTAGTACTACTCACTCACCGACACCCCACTCCATGGATATTTATATCTGCATACAGTTAATTTTACCCTCTCTCTCAACACCACGCTTAAAATCCTCCGTACTTTGTTAAAACAAAAACACCAAAACCCACTCTCTCACTCACTTTCCTTAATTAAAACCATAAATTCCCACTCTCTCTCTCTCAATGTCTTCCAAATCCATCAATATCTTCATCTTCATCTTATTTCTACTCAGATTAGCATCTTCTGATCGAACCTCAGACTGCTCCAACCGTTGGATCTACATCAGACCGTTACCATCACGTTTCAATTTTGATCTCCTCTCAAACTGCTCTGCGTACCCTCTGTTTGACGATTTCTGTTCTTATTTACCCAATCACGGCCTCGGACCCAAAACCCATAACCATTCTCTCAGCTGGTACCGCACTGACCCAATCTTGCTTGAACAATTTTTTCACCGGAGAATTCTTGAATACCCTTGTTTAACTCAAGATCCCACTCTTGCCAACGCCATTTACCTCCCTTATTATACTGCCCTTGACGCTTTAAAGTACTTGTACGGACCCGAAGTCAACTCCAGCAATCAACACGGTCTTGAATTATACAATTTCTTACGCAAGGACGTTCCTCATATATGGGATCGCCACGCCGGTCACGATCATTTCTTGGTAATAGCAAGACCCGCCTGGGATTTTTCACAACCTTTTACTAATGATCCTCCCGTTTGGGGAACTTCGTTTCTTGAACTCGCTGAGTTTTATAATGTAACGACTTTGATTCCTGAGGGACGAGCTTGGGGTTGGCAGGAACAAGCGGTGCCTTATCCCACCAGTTATCATCCATCAAACTCCGTCGTTTTGGGGTCGTGGTTGAAACGCGTGAGAAATTCAAGAAGAAATAGTTTAATGTTGTTTGCCGGAGGAGGAGGCGTTGCTGCGACTCCAAATATTAGGAGAAGTATCAGAAATGAATGTGAAGATAATAGTACCGAGATTTCTGGAGGGTATTTTAGTAAAGTTTGTGAGATTGTTGATTGTTCAAATGGGATTTGTGAGCACGATCCGATTAAGTATATTAAGCCAATGTTGCAAGCCAATTTCTGTTTGCAGCCTCCGGGGGATACGCCGACAAGGAGGTCAACATTTGATGGGATTCTTGCTGGTTGCATACCCGTTTTCTTTGAAGAACAATCTGCCAAATCACAGTACGACTGGCATTTACCTCAACATATTTATGACGAATTTTCAGTGTTTATTCCGAAGGAGGATGTTGTGTTTAAAGGGTTGAAAATTGTTGATGTGTTGATGAGTATGCCAAAATATAAGGTGAGGAGAATGAGGGAGAAAGTTATTGAATTGATACCAAGAATTATTTATAGAAGACATGATAGTACTCTTCCTATGAAGAACATCAAGGATGCTGTTGATATTGCAATTGAGGGTACTTTACACAGGATCCAATCTAGGCTCAAATCAGTGTCAGTTCAATGACCTCACTTCTTTCTATTGTAGAACATTATTCATTATTCGTCTTTTTTGTTTACTACTTTGTACTTTATATTGTATTGTTTCCCGCAAACACGTCTGAGGAAACACAGTACTTGTATTGTATCTTAATTCGTAAGTTATAACAATACATGTTTATGACTTTGAAGATAAATAATTTAAGTTTATTAGGAGCGCCACAACTTTGAAGTAAAAAATCCAAACAAACAAAAAAGAGCTAATGGAGATTATGCGTTGGCGACCTCCTCAGTCATTTGCAGGACATATGTAATGAGAAACACCAACTGCCCGCGGAACAACTTTTCTCCTCTGTGATTTTCATGTTCAAGTAACTTTTCATCCCCATCTAAGAATAACAGAGCCCCAAGTTAGACCAGCACCAAAACCTGCTGCCACGATAGTATGGCCTGACTTCACCTTCCCGCTTCGAACAGCTTCATCCAACGCCAATGGTATTGATGCAGCACTTGTGTTACCATAATTCGCTAAATTTGATATAACTCGTTCTGATGGGACTTCTAAACGTGTTGCAACTGCATCTAGGATCCTTTGGTTTGCCTGCATTTTATCGAAACCTCTTATCAGTACTTGAATATTCTTTCATCCACAAAATCTCTGTTTCTAATTGAACCACAGAAAAATATATGTATAAAATGTTCAAGTTGAGAAATCTCAAGAGTGAGTTTGAAAGTCTATTTAACATCTTACATCTCTGCATTATTTCGCAGACTTCTTTCCTATATGACTAATCTGATAACTAAGCAGGTATGACCTGCCAAGATATTTTGAAGATAAGTATATATTTATAATGCTGAATTAATCAAATAAGATATGCTTTGCACATGATTTTTTACTGATGCTGACATTATATATCAAATTGTAATAATCAATGAAAGTTTCATCCTTCTCTGTTGCAAGCAAGAACCTCTAATTCCTATAACATGAAATTTGCGCCTAAAGCCGAAGCTCTCCATGATCTGAACCTTTTCAGTGGGGTTTTCTCTAATATGACAAGATAATGCATGATAAAGAATACAGACAGCAAAAAGATCTCATCTGACTGGCCAAACTCATACACCTCCAGGTGGAAGGTGAATATAAATCAAACCAAACAAAATACTTATTATGTAGACTCCATATCTCATACCTGATGAAGCAGTAACCAATCAATGCTGGACATGTTTAGACCAGCCTTTTGAAGGGAAGACTCAATTGTCTGTGGCACAACTCGCACGGCAAAACGGAAGACTTCTTTGCCATTCATATGAATGCATGAATAAGATGACTGCTTCGGGGGGAAGCCTAACACAGATCCATTAGATCCCAATACATCATCAATGTCATTTCTTTTGATGCCAGCATTTAGATGTCTGCAGTAATAAACATTAAAGCTCAGTTCCCTTCCTCTTAGCAAGAAACAAAAAGTTCTCTACTGAAAAATGTTGAGCACATACCTTTGGCCTCCACCATCACTATGCAAGTCAAAACTAAATAAACCATCCTCCTCAATGTCACAGGCCTGCAAAATCATTGAATTGCAACCGGAATGAAGTTTTATCAAGAAAAAATGAGCAGTTTCCAATTAATAATTCTTAGCCAATACTCATACAAGGTAACACAAACAAGACAACACTTAATAGCTTTATTAATTTTACTGACAGCTTAAGAAATTAAAAAATAAAGCGTTGAAGATGATATAAGAAACGTCCTGCTTTGCTTCCATCAGAGTTTGGTTTGAACCACTAAATGTAGAGTGAAAATTGTCTAAGCAGATTTAGTCATGTAGCTGACTGTCCTCTTAGTTTGCCAGCAGGTAATACTATCCCAAGTTTTATGACTTTGGTAATGAGTATTGCTGTAATCCTCCAGGAATTACATTCATCTAATCCCAAATTTCTGGATACAGGACAGGGCTAAATCGAAATGACTGGTTTTCATATAATATAGCAAAATGCAGTTACTCCTGCTCTTTTTATGACGCCCAAAGAAAAAAAAAAAAAAACATTTAAAATTTCTTTATCCAGTCATATTCAGTTTTCAAATAGCATCACAATCAAACAACTAAAGGACTGTTACTGTGTCACCTTGTATAGAGGAAAGGAAAAATAATTACCTGCAATAATACAGCACCAGCAGCATCCCCAAAAAGAATGCAGGTTCCTCTATCCGTCCAATCAGTAAATCGAGAAAGAGAATCAGCCCCAACCACTAAAACATTACGAAACCCACCTCCTGTAATTTATATAGCAGAGATTTGATTGTATTAGTCTTCGATCTATAGTTGGGACCTCTTCTAAAGCATAGTAAAGAAGTTTGTTACCCCTAATGTAACAAGAAGCTGATACAAGACCCAACACGAATCCACTACATGCAGCTGTAATATCATAAGCCAAAGGATTGTTTTTGCAGCCAAGTGCCTTTGGGATCTGATGAGTACAGGAAAACACAGAAAAAGGAGAATACATTAGAGTGTTTCCAATTCCAAGTCAATACAAAGGAAATTAACAAAAAAAACTTGAGCTGGAGGCTGCTGGACAGTTTTGTATAATTTGGTTCTGATATTAGTTGTCCCAAAAAAGTGAAGTTCAATCAAGAATTTTCTGATTTCTTATTTACAACAGATCACAACACAAAGACACATGGATTATGCACAAAATCAATGAAAATTAAGTACGCAACAAAGCCCACCAAGAATTATGCAATCTGATTTCTGCATGTTACCACAAATTCTCCTGAAGAATTTTCAGTGACAAAACTCTGTTTGCATTGGTTAACTTTGTAGTTGTGGAACTGAATTCTGGAATAGGCTAATGTTTCAAGTATTTTTGTGACAGGTTGAAGTTTGATGGAACCTTGACAAACAAAGGTGAAAAGGACTATTTGAACCAAATTAAGCCCAAATACTCCCCCAAAAGTCAACCAACCAGGCTTATATAACCAAATAGTTGCTCTGGTATTCCAACCCCTGCTCCAAAAGTACATTGGATGAACTATTGTAAGAGAACACCTTATTCATGACACCTCTGAAAAATTTCAATTTGGAGAAAAGGATAATTCACTGAGTGTAAAATGGAACTATCTTAAAGAAAAATGTTTCTAGATGCAGTGCATAGATTTTAGACGATTAGCTTCATGAACTATAGACATTGAGACAAGGCATCTTTCCTTCATGATGCACCATACAGATAAGTTGAGAATTATCCAGAAATTTTTTCAAAAATCTAAGGAAAAGAAGAAGAAGTGACATATCATCCTAAAATCTGTAAAAATATGCATGTAAATCAAATTAAAAATGGCATTCTTTAGACTTCAAGAATTCTGAAAAAAGATGGCATATGGATAGGATGACTTTATCAACACTTAAGAATTTCTACATTAAGGACATCAAGAGATAGCACTTGCTCAATGTTCCTGGTAAAAGTATCACATGTGATATAAATCAAATTGTTGACAAATCATAAGATGATACTGACGCCATGTACAAGCAAAATTCCCAGAATACATAGAAACATGCAACCATACATGATTATGTCAACATGGCTCACTTAAGGAATGAAGTCTATTATATGTAACATGAATTAATTTACTTTTGGATATAGACAATCCCATAGACCAATACCTGAGGAGCACCGCCAAAAAGGTCCTCTGGAGTGGATGTGCACAGCAAGACTAGGTCAACATCATCAGGATCGACCTCTGCCATCTCAAGAGCTCTGCTTGCTGCCTCAGCAGCAAGATTAGTTAAGCTTTCTTTGCCTGTAAAAGCCATGGTCAAATCGAGCTCTTCAACCAATTTAGAGATTATAATGCTAATGAATAGAAATATAAGTTTTCTTTCTTTTATTTATTTATTTTTGCCATCATTCAATTAATAAGAAAACAATAAACTAGTAGATGCGTTGGCAACAAAGCTAAACAATAAGTATTAGATCTCTAACACAACAATAAGATGGATTGCACTTAAAAGTCAGCAGGGATTAGATTAAACCATATTTGAGTACTATTTAAGGAAAAGGCAATCGTACAGTTGGAAACATTTTAAATAAATCAGATTCTGACTAGATTGGCTCAGATTTGTGAAGCTAAACAGCCTTCCTCAAGGCTTATGCTCAGCCAAAGTTACCTTATACATGACACTACCATGCATTACAAGCTTCAACTAACCTGATAGAACCCGTCGATTGTGGATCCCGGTTCGAACAGAAATCCATTCATCAGATGTTTCAACTATTTTTGCAAGATCATCATTGGAAACCTGAAGACTGGGCACTGCCGAGCCACAACCAACTAACTTGCAGCCTTTACTGACAAGCCTGTTTTTTGGCATGGAAACCGGAAAGGAGATGCAGAGCAGTTAGATTTTCAACTTTTTTTTGTGTGTGTGTGTGTTCTTTTACAAGAAACTATATACTTTGTATTAAACTAGTATAAGGTGAGAAGATACATTTGTGGATCAGGTGTTCACAAAGAGTTGGATTTTCAATTTGTAAGCAAGTTTCGTTTCCTTGAATAAAATCAGACATCGATATCACGACATGTCAAGGCCAGGCTGGACTTATCATACAGAACACACATCCTATAAACGGGCCAATTTATTGTACTTAGCTAGGTAAAACATTGAAAGAACAGAGCATGCCCCTTTTAATAGTAATTAAGCTTTGTGCAAAATCTAGGTGACACTAACATATGATCACTAACATCATGGAGGAAATGCAGCATACTGATTGGTTATTCAACAAAGGAAATGAAGCTGAAAGTTCACAAAATATAGTCTATATATGGCAGTGAATGCCTTTGAGATACATAGACAAAAAAGTTTCCTTCCCCATAAGTTTATAGCTTCAAGAAGAAGATGCAAATGTACTCTGGGACCAAAGAAAAAGGAAACCAAGCTCATGACATTAACCCATTTGCCACAGAATTATAGGATTACAAGGAGAACATATTCATCTGTTCCAAAATTTTGCTAAACAGTGTATTAAATTTAGACCCTCCTTCTTAAACTGCCTTTACATGATAAAAAGACCTCCAATGTAACATATTCTGAGAATAGGAATCAACTCTATAGTTGCACATAATCCACATCCAAACTGCACAAATAGCTCTCAAAGGTTAAACTCAGGCATTTTGCCAATCAAATGAGCAACCATTAGCACTATCAAATCTTGGAGTAGATACTTAAAAACTACATCAGAAGAACCATGACCAACTATGACATCCCTGATTTTCTTCATTAGTGCATTACTGTTAATAGATCACAACAAAAAGTAACATCCATTCAATGTTCTGATAGAATCAGGTTGTCTTCTAGGATCACACTAAAACAAGAAAATTGGTTATATCAAGGATTTCCACCTCTTGTAATTAGGAAAATGAATTAGAAGTTGAACTTTTCACCATTTTGTATTGAGCTCGGAACTTCACTATAACCTTCACAAAGCAAAAACCTATTTCATTTTTGCCACTTCAAGTAGCAAACAATAATGTGAAAACCAGAAAACGCATCTCATGAAACTTAAAAAAGTTAAGTGACTTAGTTCTCTCAACCGTAGAACACAAAAAATAATAGACTCTAAAACATTCAGCTACACCTAATTTGTCTTTGTTTAATACAACCGAGTAGAACTAGAAACTGACACCTCAGGTTTTTTTTTTTTTTTTTTTTTTTTTGCCACAAGTAAAGAGAATTCAGTGCAGTAATCTTTCAACCAACTGGCATGCATTGAGAAGACAAAGAACTTGTACTTTAAACTCATCCTTTATTTCTCACAATTCAATTGTTCATCTAATATATCCGCCGGATAAAGATCAAATCGTTGNCGTCGATTGTGGATCCCGGTTCGAACAGAAATCCATTCATCAGATGTTTCAACTATTTTTGCAAGATCATCATTGGAAACCTGAAGACTGGGCACTGCCGAGCCACAACCAACTAACTTGCAGCCTTTACTGACAAGCCTGTTTTTTGGCATGGAGACAGGAAAGGAGATGCAGAGCAGTTAGATTTTCAACTTTTTTTTGTGTGTGTGTGTGTTCTTTTACAAGAAACTATATACTTTGTATTACACTAGTATAAGGTGAGAAGATACATTTGTGGATCAGGTGTTCACAAAGAGTTGGATTTTCAATTTGTAAGCAAGTTTCGTTTCCTTGAATAAAATCAGACATCGATATCACGACAAGTCAAGGCCAGGCTGGACTTATCATACAGAACACACATCCTATAAACGGGCCAATTTATTGTACTTAGCTAGGTAAAACATTGAAAGAACAGAGCATGCCCCTTTTAATAGTAATTAAGCTTTGTGCAAAATCTAGGTGACACTAACATATGATCACTAACATCATGGAGGAAATGCAGCATACTGATTGGTTATTCAACAAAGGAAATGAAGCTGAAAGTTCACAAAATATAGTCTATATATGGCAGTGAATGCCTTTGAGATACATAGACAAAAAAGTTTCCTTCCCCATAAGTTTATAGCTTCAAGAAGAAGATGCAAATGTACTCTGGGACCAAAGAAAAAGGAAACCAAGCTCATGACATTAACCCATTTGCCACAGAATTATAGGATTACAAGGAGAACATATTCATCTGTTCCAAAATTTTGCTAAACAGTGTATTAAATTTAGACCCTCCTTCTTAAACTGCCTTTACATGATAAAAAGACCTCCAATGTAACATATTCTGAGAATAGGAATCAACTCTATAGTTGCACATAATCCACATCCAAACTGCACAAATAGCTCTCAAAGGTTAAACTCAGGCATTTTGCCAATCAAATGAGCAACCATTAGCACTATCAAATCTTGGAGTAGATACTTAAAAACTACATCAGAAGAACCATGACCAACTATGACATCCCTGATTTTCTTCATTAGTGCATTACTGTTAATAGATCACAACAAAAAGTAACATCCATTCAATGTTCTGATAGAATCAGGTTGTCTTCTAGGATCACACTAAAACAAGAAAATTGGTTATATCAAGGATTTCCACCTCTTGTAATTAGGAAAATGAATTAGAAGTTGAACTTTTCACCATTTTGTATTGAGCTCGGAACTTCACTATAACCTTCACAAAGCAAAAACCTATTTCATTTTTGCCACTTCAAGTAGCAAACAATAATGTGAAAACCAGAAAACGCATCTCATGAAACTTAAAAAAGTTAAGTGACTTAGTTCTCTCAACCGTAGAACACAAAAAATAATAGACTCTAAAACATTCAGCTACACCTAATTTGTCTTTGTTTAATACAACCGAGTAGAACTAGAAACTGACACCTCAGGTTTTTTTTTTTTTTTTTTTTTTTTTGCCACAAGTAAAGAGAATTCAGTGCAGTAATCTTTCAACCAACTGGCATGCATTGAGAAGACAAAGAACTTGTACTTTAAACTCATCCTTTATTTCTCACAATTCAATTGTTCATCTAATATATCCGCCGGATAAAGATCAAATCGTTGCCATTATCAAACTCTTGTGAAGAGGTATTCTCAGATGGTATATGTAGTGCCATCATTTGAAACCGAAATCTTATTTTAACAAAAAATCAACTCCCTTATAAAGATTCATCTTGTGCATGAATCACTTTTATCAGTTCATCTAATAAAGAATCACCACTTTACAAGACACAAGTGTTGTTACATAGAGCAATTCACCAATGAACTCAAAAACAATCACCATATCTAAACTACATAAATTTCAGGAAAACAAGTAAAATTCCCATTTTATTTGTCAAAGTAACACGCCGATATAAACAATGAAATCCGAAGATTAAAAGCAAATTAAAGTTTGTGAGCCAGCGAATACCATTTTCACCAACTAAACAACTAACGCCAAAAAAAAGAAACAATGAATCACTCAAAAACTCACCTGGGTGGTCTAGATTCAGAAGGAGAGACAGTGTTCTCAGAACCTTGAATGGTGGTGGAGCACAGTATCTTTTTAGAGAAAGAAAACCCAGATCGATATACCCTTATTGAAGGCTGAAGCCCGCTTCTGAAACTGGGAACAGAAGGTGTGAACAAGCCTGATGCATTCGCCATTTTGGACTCACAAAAACACTCAGGAAGACAACAAATTGAAAGTTTGTGCTTTTAAAGAAGAATGAGTGAGAAAAACAAGATCTTTTTAGCTAATAGTGGAGAGGAGAAAAATAGCTATGATTTAATAAAAGATTAAAGAAGTAGAGCATACAGAACACAATGAAATAAAATAAAGAACAAGAGCAGGGAGAGGGAGGTGCAAGTATTCTATTCTACTTAAAAAAGGGCAAAAAAGAAACACAAGAAGCAAGAAAATGAGGGCGATTATGCCAACTCAAATTGAGAAAACTCCAATGCCCATCTGTAATCAAAACTGTCAATTTTTTGGCTGTCTAAGCTACCGCACTCTCTCATGCAATGCATTGCTAAAATGCTTTCGCTATTTCCAAGATTTTCTTTTTGTCATCAACATAAATTACTGCTTCTTCTCTGTTTTACCCTTCTGGAAAACGTGGCTGAAGGTTGTTGGCAGTTATTTCCAGTTTTTTTTATTTTTTATTTTATTTTGGATTGGATTAGAATTACGACTACAAACAATACGTTCACTCTTTTCTTTGGGTTTCTTCCAATTCTCTTCTTCTTTAGTTAGTTTAGCTACTTTAGCCAGCCACCCCATTTCTAAATCATCTTAATGATATTCAACTTCCCACCTAATTAATTTCTTTTTTCTCTTTCAAAACATTGCCTATCGCTAACCTTATCAATTGATTTATGTCAAAATTTTACAGTCTAACACGGTTAATTGTTTTTTTTTTTAATCAAGGTGTTCAGGTAAATTTGTACACACCTTAATTAATTTTAGAACTTCAAGGTTTGAATCTAAAAACTCAAGGAATTGAATAAACCTCTTTTACCATGATAATCCTTTGAGTATTATGGCTATTTAGCCCTAAACCGTAAACCGTTAATTTATTGTAACTGTTTTGGGCATTATGGCCATTTAACGAAAGATCTTTTTAAAAAATAATAAATTAACTTAACCGACTCTAATTTAGATTAACCAAACACTAGTAAGCCTTAATCCTCTTGTTGTTAACAGGTGGCGTGTCGTGTTTTAATTGTACCGTGTCAAGTATGTCTCAACCCAAACTTGACCATTTAATTAACTGTGTCAAAGGTCTCAACTTGAACCCAACCCTTTTATTATTCGTGTTGTTACACATTTAGCAATTTGACCCATTTGCCATTTATATTTGTTACGTTATATAAATAATAATTATTATATAATATAACATATATTATTAAATTTCAAATACTAATAATTTATGTTTATGAAATGTTGACATTGAGAAAATTGAATTCAATATGATGATTTGCCATATATATTATTATATTAATTATTACAAAGGTATAATAATTATTATATAATATATAGTTATATAACTTTTGACATTTAATATTTGTAAAACTATATGATAAAATCTGATATATTAATTGCATTGCAATTTATTTTTAAACTCTATCATTGAAAATTATATTATATAAAATTGACATAATATAATATTTATATGTTGTGGTATTTTGTATAAATCACTATATGTTAACAAAATATAACATGTAATTTATTGAATAATGACACTTAGAATTTAATATCTATACTAATATTCTAATAATTTTTTTAAATTAAAAAAATTATATTAGTCCATATAATTTGTGAATAAGTAATATCATTATAACATTTAATAAACATTTTTTTAATTATATTTCTCATTTTCAATTTATCTTATTGTGTTTGAAACTCAATATGTTTCTTTTTAATTTGTTTTGTTAAATAAATTTCAGTTATGTTAATTTTTGTTATTTGTTTTTATTATTAGAATTATATCTAATTAATCGTATTTTAGATGGATTAGTTGTGTTATAATAAACACAATAATGGTGTCATAAAAAGTTAACCATATCATAACAGCCTTTTAATTACTATCCATATTTGAAATTCGAAATTCCTTACGTCGTCAAAATCATGTATGGAAAATTTGTTTTGTGAGGAGACAGAAGACTCCCCTTATCTATCAACTTTTTCGGTTTCTTAATTTATATACTTAAATAACAACACGTGAAAAAAAAAAAAAAAAATCAACTACTTCATCAATTTTATAATTGGTTTTACTTTTTTATTTATTTTCTATACGTGGCCATTATCCGCAACACAAATATAAAAATCTCTTTTTCGTCAACTCCCAATTGTACAACTGAATTCAAAATAGTTTATTATAAGGAGTCTACTATGTAAACAATTATTCATTAAAGTAGATTTTATTTAATTCCTCTAATCCTCTATTATTATTTACTTTTTCGAAACTGTGGAAAGAATATAAAATAATAATAATAATGGACTAAACTAAACATGACAACTGCCTAACAACATATTCATTAAATTGGATCGACAGAATTGAAATAACTATAACATATATTCATTAAATCAACTCATTTCCCTCTACAGTATATTCTTTATACATACCAAGAATATTGTGATCCTCTCAAGAATTTATTTATACATACCAACTTAAATAAATGTTAAATGTTAGGCAGGACAAGGACAGTTAGAACTTGGACCTAATGCATAATTAACTTCTCTTCATTAAAACATTGTTGCAAAATATCTATACCAATTATATGCGTTTTAAGTTGATAACATTCAGAATTGTTTTCAAAATTATTGTTCTTCTTTCCAAATAATCTCTCCCTACTTTCAATCTACCAAACCATGGAATGACCGTCGTTTTTGGGTTCATTATGATACCATATATATATATATAAAAGAATAAAATTGTAATTCGTTTTTCAATATAATGACCAACATTTTGGTCCTACCTTCATGCTCCCCTTCACCCAACCTAAACAATTGTAGAATAAATGTCTCACTTTCTTACTCCCAACGCCCCAGTCCACCAAGGCACCAACTTTGGTTTCTCAAGGATGGGCCGAACAAATTACGCATACCCAAGATTTACCAAAATGACAAGTTGGTACCTAAAAGGTTTTGAAACGATAAATAGGTACCTTTCGTCATGTTCTGTTAGTGATTATCATTTGATAATAGTGAAAAGACTAAAATACCCTTGAAAGTTTAATATTTTAGTTTTTTTATAAATTTAAAAATTTCTTAAAAACCCCCTAGGTTTGCTAATTTGACTAAATACCCCAATATATAAAAATTTTATAAAATAACAAAAACACCCCCACCATCCGCAGTGCCAGATTCTGGCCACCACCGCCGGAACTGGCCGAAAAATTACGTTAAGACACAGACCCATCGGATCTGTGTCATAACGCGTAGATCTGGCATTTTCCGGCAAGATCCGTAGCTGATCTGGCCGGAAAAGGCCAGATCTACTGCCAGATTTGGCAGTCGAGACTGGAATCTTGCCAGAAAATTGTGTTACGACACAGACCCGTCAGATCTGTGTCGTAACACGTTGATCTGGCATTTTTCAACTAGATCTGGTCGGAAAAGGCCAGATCTGGCCGGAAAAGGCCAGATCTGGCGGTCGAGGCCGAAAAAGGCCAGATCGACGCGTTACGACACAGATCCGACAGGTCTATGTTGTAAAACAATTTTCTGGCCAGATTCCGGCGGTGGTGGCCGAAATCTGGCACTGCGGGTGACAAAGGTGTTTTTTTATTTTATAAAATTTTTATATATTGGGGTATTTAGTCAAATTAGCAAAACTATGGGTTTTTTTTAGAAATTTAAAATTTAGAAATTTATAAAAAACTAAAATATTAAACTTTCAAGAGCATTTTAGTCTTTTCACTATTATCAAACGAAAATCACTAACAGAACATGACGGAAGGTATCTATTTGTCATTTCAAAACCTTTTGGGTACCAACTTACCGTTTTAAAAAAACCTTGGATATGTGTAAGTCGTTCTCCCTCTAGGGATGTAATAAATGGTAGTCATTTTTAGCCCCACTAAATTGACCAATAACTCCCCATTTTTTATTTTACTTTTTCAACTTTGACAAAATTATCTCTAAACAAAATTACTATAAACCCCAATATTTACTTATTTTTATCTTTAATATTTATTTCTTATATAAGCTCTAGTTCTAAATTTTTATAATCATTAAAATTTGTTTGTTCATTCTCAAATAATTGGTTGCTTAATAGATATATTATTAAAATTATGATGAAAACAATAGTACAATGGAATGAATTTGGAGAAGAAAGTTTAGTTTCAAACAATTTTAAAGCAAAAATTTATTTTATATCTAGAATATCACTATATTATCACTATCGGCTTATAGAATTTCAATTACAATCGGATATGATAATGGATACGCACCCAAACTCAACAAAATTAAAAGAATCGGAATTTTTCTCTACTAATGGAGACGAAAGTGGTTGCTACTTGCCATGAGTAGTGCTGCTTTACTGAGGTTTGTAACTTGAAATTGAAGAAAACCGAGAATTACTGTTGAGATTTCAGCAATATTTTTAAGATTTTTTTATTTTGTCAATTTTAGGATGCTCATAGTATCTTTGATATTCTGTAATCTCCTAATTATATTTGTATATTGTAATTGACATAATTAGAAGATTCTGTAAATTGTATTCTCTCTATATAAAGTTTGTAACTCTTAGTATCTTACTGAATTAATCAATGAATTAAAAACCCAATTCTTCAAACAAACAATTATAACTACTGGAATTGTTTGTAACCGAATTCATCTACATCTTATTCAAATAGAACTACGGAGAGAAAATTAAAATGTTCATTCAAGTTCACTCATTGAAAGACCCTTTTTTCCCCTCTTTATAACCTCCATGGTTCATCTTCTTTGTCTCCACTATAAATCCATAATCATCACAATTCTTGAGCTTTTGTTGAACTCCTCGCTGACTTGAGCATTAGAGAGTCTACGCTAGCAATTGCCCTTGTCGACTTGAGCCTTTAACCTCATTCTCCCTTTGTTGTACGGGAATTCCAGTAGCTTCAAGAGAAGAATTGTCATAGAAACACCTTAGAAACACCCTTAAAACACACCCTAATGCCCATGTACTCGTTAACGCCTAAAATGTTTTTAGGCATTCATAGGGATAGAGACTTCGACAATATAACATATTTGTTATTTTTCTAGTCTAAGATGATCTTAATTGTTTTTATTTGTTTATTTATTATTATTATTTTTTTCATCTATCATTTGTGGAGTGATGAGCACATTGTTCACCAGCTTTTAATTGGAATGGTGGAGGCTAGATTTCAACAATTACTGGTAAAAGAACAAAAGAAATAATATAATTATTTTGAGAAAATGAAGGTGAAAGTATAGGTATTTGAAATCCAATTTTTAGTCTAAGTAAA